TTCCCAGCAACAACCTTCAGCACAAAACTGATGACTAGAGCATGGTGGGGGGGTTACCAGTAAGCAAGTGAAACTGCACACACAGACAAGTGAAGCTGTGAGTATGGGAGATGTCAGGTTCCTCTTGCTCTGCTTTCCCCTCTACACTGGGCTTGAGCACCAGGAGTGTATAACTCTGGTTCTTCCTGCACTGATGGGAGAAGGTATGCTCTGCTGTAGCCAGCCAACTCCTCATCCACCTTAGGTCTGCTCAGCAGAGGCAGTAGGACAGGTATTTCCTTGCACAAGCCACGTGGAGGTGAAACTTTCAGTTGGTGAGGACTGCACAACCAGCATTAACCATTAATTGTTTCTGCCTCTGCTGTGGCTGATGGGGTGCAGAAAACTTTTGTAGCAATGCAGGGATGAAGAGGGGCTGGAAGACTCAGGCCTCTAACTGCACTTAGAAGTGAGCAATAGCGTACATTTAAAAGAAAACCGTTGAAAGTGCATGTGCTGAAGAAGCTAGGACAGCAGGACCAGAGCAGCTCCTCTTCTGCTAAAGAGCTGCAGGTGGGTGATCCTGGCAGGAAGCTGAACAGCAGAGTGATAGAAGCAGGGTTCAGAGTTTGTCTAAGCTTCTTTAATTGCTCTCCAATGCACTGCATTGAGTAAGACTCTTGCTGTGCTCTAGCCTAGATTTCACTCCATCCCTAGGATGCAGATGCCATCTGCAGGAGCCACTAGATCTAGCCTCCTGCAAGCTACAATAGCTGTGAAGGGAAGATTTAATTCTAGTAGTCAAAGAGGTGTCAGAAAAGAGACTCTGCTTGCGTCCCTGCCTGTACTCCAAGAAGGAAGCACAACCCTTTTTTGTGGAGAGAGCTGCAATGGTGGGTAGCAGCAAAACTGCCTCTCTCAGCTAGGGTCCAGGAGCAGGGGACACTGGCTGGCTCAGGCACCCCTCCTATTTCAGGCTGTAGATTGAAGGTCTCTCCTTGTAGAGCTGGGGGCTTCCCACCTCCAGCAAAATTGTGTTTGACAGTATTTAGATAGAAAGACTGGAGTTGTCTGCTCCCATAGCTGACTTCTTCCCCAATATGCCTCTTGGGTTCTCCTAACTACACAGGTCCGTGGGACTCTTACCAAGTTCTGACTTGAGGACCATTTTCTCAGAGAGATGATATGGTGTTCTTATCTCAGACTCCTACTGGTTTCTAAGATGGATGGGTATGGTTTTGAATGGTCGTTGACTTCATGAGTTGGGTCTTATCTTGCTAAAAGCCTCATTCAGTGCAATCTATTAAGAAGTCCTGAGCACAACCCCAACAGCTCTCTCTGTCCTTTGGGTCACAGTGCAGGTAATGACATATCAAGACTGAGCTGAAAACAGAACTTGCTGTGAGCCAAGTCCCAACTCACCAGAAAACAAAATGCAGAAAGTGTCTTGTCCTGCTGTGGAGGTTTCCACAGATGACTGAAGATTGTCAGGTGTGGATAAGCTGTCATATTAGAAGCATTTAATAGCAATCAGCAGTTAAAAAGAGCTTTAATACTATCCATACTACCCTTGTGCACTAGGGAATTGCAGTGCATGGTGCTGAAGGGTGTAACTTTATGATCATTCTTGCCAACTGTTTCACTAAATCCCCAAATTTCTTTCTTGTGGATGTACGGAATGTGTTCTCTGCTGCCATCCCTCTCTGAAGGCATGGAGCCCTGGGCTCTCTGCAGCTGGGATGTGCCCAACAGCGGTGCCCAGCACTCAGTCCTCCTCGCTTTCCTCCCTCCATATGTGAGAAATGCACGTAGTGGTACTTGCCAAATTAAGCATTCTCCTGCAGTGAGTGAGGAGAGCAAGTGATTTGGCTCTCCAGAGCATGCGTGAGCAGATGGCAGGTGAGGTCTACCTTCCTGAGAGGGATAACACTTGTTCCCGGAGGTTTAGGGGTGAAAGCTTGGCCAGCAGTGCCTGGGTTTGCAAAAAATCCTGAGGTAAGAAAGCTGAACTGTGCCTCCCCCCTCAGTTTCCAGCAGTGTTTAGGAAAGAAGGCAACAGATGCCATCCATTTAAAACAAGCACGCCAGTAACAACCACAGCCTGAACCAAAACAGATGTCATCTCTATGGCTGCTAAGCCTGATATTTCACAGACTGCTGGACAGTGTAGCCTGAGGTTCCCCAGTCACTTGTTGTATTTCCTTCATGCACACAACTCAGCATCCAGTTAATCTGCCATCAGCACAAAATAGTCCTTCTACTTCCTGACATCACTGGGAAAGACTTTGTATAAACTTAGACTCTGCTGAGTAACTAGAAAAGGAAAATTTTCAAGCTCCCTAACAATACAGGAGGACCAATGGTACTGCAACCTGAATATAGGTGCCTGTTTTCAGAATAGTAAAAGTTTGCCATCCTATTTTTTTATTATATGATCTATTTGGAAGTAAGCACATTTACTGAATTTCCCTTTTGGTACTAACAAACTCTTCACAGCAAGGTTGTTCTCCCAAACACAATTTGGGCAGGATCCCATATACTAGCACTTCTCTCACAAGTAAAAAAATCATCTTAAAACACCTTTCTTCATCTGGAGAAGTAAAATGTAGCAAGCCCCAGAAATAAGTTTTGAAAAGCCGCTTCCAAGATACTTGAGCCTCTCCTTATACTCAACCTGAACTTTAGAGCAGTTCACGTGCTATCTCTAGATAGTTGCAAGGCTGCATTATCATCTGATTTACTGAGAGTCTGCTGAATGCTTGGGAGGGACTTTTAGAGGGGTTTTAGAGTTGTGTACATCTGTATAAATGGCAGCTCTTGTAAGAGATTAAAACAAACAAAAGTTCCTGAGCGCCAGCATTTTAGAGGAAAAATTATCATGGCAACTTGAATTGCTATCAGTGAATCAACTAATAAACACCAGTCTGAGGTAATTAATATCCCAGGGGATGAGAAATCCAAGGAGTGTTTTTTCTCAGTGGAGCCCTAGCATGGGTAAGGAGTTTGACTTTCAATGTCTTCTGTGACATTGGCTCTTGCAGCACAGACTCCTTGCCATACAGCTAGTGTTAGGAATAAGTGCTTTCTCCTCCGGCAGTTATTAATCTACTTATTTTGATATTAGCAATTTTGTGTAGTGATTATAAGCTATATACAATCAAAAGTGAAGCTTAAATTCATATTATCGAAGATTACATGGTGGCACTGAGGACACTGCAGTACAAAAAAAAATTTGCAAAAGCAAAGATTGTATCTCAAACCATGTGGTATCAAAACTAAATATTCAGTCACGTTTTTACTGAAATATCCAACCTGCCATGTTCTTAGTTTACAGCTTACCTAATTCCTGTGGCTTTGCTGCTGTGGCACAAGACATAGGGGAATGAAACTATTTGTTTTTTTTCTTACAAATTGTCCAACATGAATTTTATAAACCCTTTTTTCAGTTTGTTACTGAAAAGATGCCAATGTCAAAATGTCTGTGATCTTTTTAATTAGCTGCCCCAAGTAGCTCCAACTTTGAAATAGTCTATGCATAGATTATTATGTGTCTTACCCACCTCTGTAGATTCACTTGCGGATCTTAGGCTCGATTGATTGGACTGACCTAAACTTCTTAAGTAAATATTCTACAGAGGTTTCCCAAGTTTTCATTCTTAATCTCCTAAACTCACTCATGTGGAAAAAAAAAACTTCAGTTGCTGTGTATTTTTTTTGTCTGTAGCTAAGTATGAAAATTTTTACTCTCCTCCTCTAAAGATCTCTCACCACCTTAGAACCATGTAAGATTTACTGCATTCGAGCTCTAAATACAAGTCATATGGTAGTCTGTGTGTAGCCAGGATTAGAAGCGATTTGATTCAAAGGCCTGTACTTCAAACTGTTGGACCAACCTGCTTCTCCTGTAGAGGAACGTATAGTGTGGGTGCCATCTGGTTGTTCCTGCTATTGTCTTTCATCCATCTTTATAGAAAAAGGGAGGAAGACAAAAGAAAGGCATAACTAGAAAAGTGTTTTGCATTACATTGCGTTCTCTCTTTCTGTCTTGGTATGGTCTCTGTTTTATATTAAATATTAAACTGCTGTGGAATACAGACCTGAGAGCATTATTTAGCTCAGCTTTTTCCACAAAAAAACCTGCTTTCTCTAAAGGCTGAAATATGGTGAACAACAATAGTGAAATTCTCTCTGTGTAGTGACTGTCTTTCGCAGAAGTAGTGCAAAGTAATTCCTTCTATTCACATTCTCTTCTTCACTAAGACACTCCCATTTAGCCTGCTTCTGTCAGCTCTAATTACAAACCAGCAATACCTATCACCGTTTTTCTGCTGGATAAGGTCTCCCTTGAATTTTACTTATTTCAGGATGTTGGATCCCAGCTGGGAAATGGAGAAAACATTCTGGAAACTGCAAAAACATCTTTCTTCCTAGATGGTAACACAACACCTTAAAGGGCTCCATGTTCTGAAAGAATCACACATAAAAAAACTAGTATGCATAACAATGGGGTAGCCCTGTTGCTAATAAGCAAAGAGAAAGAAAATTTTGAGTATAAATTAAAAGCCTAACATCAAATGGCTAAACATTTTGTTAAAACCAAATATACATGGGATTTGCTTTCCAGAAATCTGTCTGATATGGAAGAAGGGCACAAAACCCTAAACATTTGGTGCTAAAGGATTCAGCATGTGAACAAGAAATACTCCCTAAAATTCCCTTCCTTGGATGTACCTGACCCACCGAAGTTAGCCTTCAGCCAACAGTGGAAGATAACCAGAAGACATTTTGTCACCAGCATCCTGTGAACCCAGCCCTGTGAGACTAGGGGTTTCTTTGACAAAGGAAGACAAGTGGTCAGTCACGGTGCAGAATGTCCCTGGAGATGCATCTTATCTAAATTTGTCAAGAGACGAAGATACCATCATTTGACTGCCAACACTTCATCTGCTCATCACTGCACCTCCCAGCACTGACCCCAGAAACTCCTGCCAAAGTCCTCTGGGAGCAAACGTGTGGCCAGCATGTGTGAGGCAGCCACGTGTGCTGGGGAGCAGAGGGTAAACCTGCCCTTTGCGCCAAGGTATTAGGCTGCAGGCCCCACTGTTTGTCTGAGCTCTGAATGAAAAATGACTGCACTGATCCAACAAAGGTAAAAGCTATAAAGAAGATGCCACGCATAAGTAATCTGTTCAAAGGAACAGACAGCTTTTGGCATCCTGAACATGCTTTATGCAACTAAATTGGGGGAGCTCCTCTAGACACGTCTCGGCCACATCCTCCACCACCTTCCTTCCCACTGATCTAGTTCCTTCTGCCTGCAGTCTCTCAAAGATATGCCAGACATCACAGCAGCCTAGAGCAGGTAAAAAGATGCCAGAATTACGGTTGCTCATGCAGTTTTGAATATAACTTTTGCAATCAGTGTGTCAAATCATTCTGTCACGGTTCAGGAAGGCAATGGCAGTTTAGGTCAAAACAGATGCAGGCAAAAGGGAAAATGGATCAATTAAAGGCCAAGTCACAGACATCTTCTTGGTAATCTTCTTGGCTGCCTGAGCCTGCTGCTAAGTTCTGGCTGCATTAGCATCTAAACCCTAGGTATTATCTATGTCTTATAGCCTGGAGAAACTAGTATCACTTGACTTGGTCACCACTGTGAGTATGACCTCATGTACTGCAACCATTGCACTGCAGATCAAGACACAAATAAAATTCCATCATCCAGCTAAGAAAAAAGATCATCATTTGAAAGCAAGAAAAGAAAAAATATATGAAATGAAAAAACCTCCCAAAGAAACCTAGCATCAGAGACTAAGAACAAAGCAAGGTTAAGCCTGGCTGCGTGACAGAATGACACCACCACATCTTTCCACCCTTTTGTGTGGGCTGTGGTAGCATTACTGCTCTGCATCAGGAATCAGCTCATGGAAGGGGCTTTAATGCTCTACCCTGGGAAAGGTTTGCTAGTACAGGTTTCTTTCCTTAAAGGCTGTCCTATGCCATCTTAGCAGTGGATGGCAAGAACACGATGAATTGCAGCCAAGAGCAACTTCACAGGAGTTCTGGAGCGCTGCTGCAGTGGTCCCACCTGTCTGCAGGGCACTCTGGTAAATACTGCTGAGGGAAATGGATGTCCTTAACGCAGTTTCAGCCTAACAACGTTACTCTTGCAAAAAGCGTTAAGAGCCTTGTTACAACGCTCTACTTTAATCCACTGCAAGCCTCAAATGCCTCTGGAAGAACCCCCCGGCCAGGGCTGCAGCCTGCTTCAGCTCGGGCGGCCGCTTGCTGCCGTCGGGAGGGAAGAGCTGTGCGGCTGAAGAAAAGGCCACGACCACCCACAGGCCCGGCGGGCCTGCTCTTGAAAGCCCTCGGCGGCTGAACGTGAGGCACCGCCGCCCGGACCCCACCAAGCCCACAGCGCTGCGGGGCCGAGCCCAGGGGTTGCGGACAGGCGCCCCGGCCTCAAGTTGCGGCGCGCGGGCGGACAAGGCCCCGGCGACGACCGCCGCCCGACTGACCATCAGGCCGCGGCGACGGCGCTGAAGCTGAGCTGCGCCCCACCGCGTGAGCCGCGGCCCCGTCACGTGG